ATGAATTCTTCATTGGGAACTTTTCATGAAGGTCGAGCTCCTGTAATGCCTATCACTATACCACATGCCCATAGGTACATGCACAGGTGTATAGGAAATATGAAACATTCAGTGAATATGTGAAAAGCAATTGGGCTGACTTAGAAGATAAAAGTATAGAATAACTTTTGCTGGAGGGGACCTCTGGAAATCATCTGAGCAGACACACTGCTCAAAGCAAGACCAGTGTCTGGGGATTGCAAGGGGCCATTGGGAGATCTGGACCTATCTTTAGATGCCATACAAGGAAACAAACATACAAATGGACCTAGTTAAAAAGCAGAAGAAAATAACCTATTAAAACCCCCTCCATAGCTTATCTTTTCTGCCTGTCCGGTGCAGTAGAGATTCATTGAAAGGATGGATCTAACAGAATGAGAACTATCTTAGGGAACAGCTCACAATTAACAGATAAAAGGCCAAAACTTAGCTTGCCAGCCCCATCTCTTGGGAGTGGTTTTCATTTGCTTATTACAGTATAAGGGATGTCTCCTTCACAGCTCTTCTCTGTGGGAAGATAGATCTGGGCTCAGGGAACAGCTTAGTGATGCTGTATTGACGCCCTTGAAGGGTTATAGGAAATTCCATGGGGATGTTACTAAATGCCCTGTGCTGAGGCAGTTTCTTTTCTTGCAGGATTATTCCCACCAATTCATCTGCACAACTATAAGGGAAAGGATAGTTGTGCCAATTAGGGCCATTCGTGCCCGAGCCATCCTGGAGTTACCTAAATATCTGGACTTCACAAACTGTCCGGTCAAGTACAACAGCCAGAAGACTCTGCTGGTTCACAATGTTGGTAACCGGGGAGTGTTACTCCCATCCTGCCATGTGAGGGCAGGAGCATGTAACATGGGGCAGAAGTGGGAAGGGAATGGAAGGGAAGGTAGCACTGAAGCCTGGCCAGGGGTTCCCCTAACTGGCAGCTTCTCTGTTCTGATGAAATTTCTGGCAAAAGACTAAGAAAAGAATCCTGTGCCTTGCCCACACCAGGCACTGATCCCCCAAGCCCCAGCAGAGAGCTGCAGCAGTCCTGGCATCACCCCTGGGGCAGATGCGGGAGCATGTACACTAATCTGGCTTTGCTGGAGCCTTTTCTTTCCTCCCCTCCCTCCAAAGTCTCACATCCAGCACATAAACAATGCTGGCCCAAAGCTTCTCCATCAGCCAGTAGTGATGTTCTCACCAGGGGTAATGGGAACGTCAGGCCCATAATTGCAGCAATAGGTCCTTAATGAGCTGAACCTGAAGCAAGTTCATCAGCTGTCACTACTGACATGAATAAAGTTCAGCTTGCCAGGTGTTCTCTCTAATTTTGTGTGTGATGCATTCATCACCAAGCTCCCCAGAACACACTTTTAAGTGACAGATTGACCACCAGCAAAGCACCAAGGCCAGGAATTTTGTTTCCTCAGTGGGGCTGTAGAAGAGCACAAAGCCCAGCAGCTGTTGGGCAGAAGCACATTTCACCTGAGCTGTCCCTGAGCATCAAAGCACAGTCTTGTGTTTATCAGGCAAGAGCTATTTACCTGGTGACCAATCCTAGTTGCTCCTGTCAAATCCAAAGTGCACCAACACATCTGCATAATTATTTCCAACACATTGCACAGAGTTTGTCTGCTGGGCCAAGTAAACAATTACCAGCCTGCATGACAACCCAGAGTCCCAGACTGCATTGCTGGTAAATACACAGATACTCCTGTTCTGCTTCCTTGATGTGCTCCTGCTCATGGTGCTTCATTTAGCTGGGATTGGATCCTTCAGACTTTAAATGGCATCTTCTTTTTGGGTCTTGTTTCCATGTTACTGTGTTACTCTAATCTGGTGTTGGTGCTTGGCACCAACTGATGGTGGATGGGAACTCACTGTCAGTTCATCATCCTGCTGTAAAACTTTCATACCTTCTCTCTGTGAGTTCTCACAGGCAGCTCCTCACAACACTGACTCCTTTTCTCTTTCTTCCTCATGGCCACCTGACTCCTTCCTGTCCCTCACAGCCTGTACTAACCCTTACTGTCCCTAGCACAACCACCTGACCCTTACCCTTCACAGCACAGCTGACAAACTCCAACTCTCCTCTCGACCAGCTAATCCACTCTTTTATAACACCCATCCTTATTGAACCATCCTTACTGGACATAGCTGTGACCTCTTAAGGGCAAGGCCGTTCATACTCTTTGGTAATTAGCACAGCTGCAACTCCTCAGGGGCAAGATTGCCTTCTGCACTATCTCTATTCTCTTACAATCCAGCCTCCCGCAATCTGCATTTGCCCTCTCTCAGAGTTTTGATTGTTCCTTTTCTTAGAGCAGCTTTCATTGAAAAGCAGATAAAATGTGCCCTTTTTAGGCTAAATCAGCATGTTTTAAAGGTAAAATAAACCAAAGAACCACACCGCAAATTCAACAGTAATTATTCCATGGTCTTCATGACACCCATCCTTATTGAACCATCCTTACTGGACATAGCTGTGACCTCTTAAGGGCAAGGCCGTTCATACTCTTTGGTAATTAGCACAGCTGCAACTCCTCAGGGGCAAGATTGCCTTCTGCACTATCTCTATTCTCTTACAATCCAGCCTCCCACAATCTGCATTTGCCCTCTCTCAGAGTTTTGATTGTTCCTTTTCTTAGAGCAGCTTTCATTGAAAAGCAGATAAAATGTGCCCTTTTTAGGCTAAATCAGCATGTTTTAAAGGTAAAATAAACCAAAGAACCACACTGCAAATTCAACAGTAATTATTCCATGGTCTTCAAGGAAACGTTCCTTCTCCCTGTCTGATTCCTAGGCTAATCTCACAGGACAGGTAGTGCCCTAACATTTGCATCTCTTGAGGTGAGGTTTATAGGCAGCAGGAAAAAAGAAATTCCTGAGGCAGTCAGTGTCAAGTTGTGCATGCAGATAGTTCTCAACCCTCTCTGTGCTCTTCACAAACCATTCTCTGATGGGATTGCTGGCAGTGGGACCCTTGAGTCTCATTGCAGAGGGCTGGATGCAGAGTATGGGGGATGTGAAGTAATTTTATCCCACAGGATCTTGTGAGGAGGGCTGAATCTCCTCAGAAGTGGGTCAGTGGCTGTTTCTGATCCTGTCTGTTCTATCTTCTGTTGACTGTGGTTGGTTTGCTCCCTGCTTGCCCAAGTGAGCTGACGTGAACTGCACTGCAGGAGGAATCTCATGCCCTGGTGTCCTTCCGAACCCCTGATCCCTCTCTTTGTGTTGCAGTCCTTTCTCTGTGGTTCCGACCACAGGAACTGTGGGCGCTGGTGACACCGTGGAGGTGACAGTGGGATTTCACCCGCTGAAAAACGATGACTATTGCAAGGACTTGTGCTGCAACACAGGTGAGTGCTGGGCCCTGCAAGGGCACAGGACAGTTCTCCACCATGGCTCCCTGTTCTCCCATCCCCCTCCAGAGGTACCTCCCCTGTTCAGCTTCACCCCAAAGCAAACTGAGAACTCCTTGGTGTTTAGGGGGTTGATAAAGTGGATCCCCTCTAACAGGCTAAGATTCTGGACTCCTCTTTTGCTGGGAGTTTCTGAGTGGAGGAAGGAGCTCACAACACTGACTCCTTTTTCTTCCTCATGGCCACCTGACTCCTTCCTGTCCCTCACAGCCTGTACTAACCCTTACTGTCCCTAGCACAACCACCTGACCCTTACCCTTCACAGCACAGCTGACAAACTCCAACTCTCCTCTCGACCAGCTAATCCACTCTTTTATAACACCCATCCTTATTGAACCATCCTTACTGGACATAGCTGGGACCTCTTAAGTGCAAGGCCGTTCATACTCTTTGGTAATTAGCACAGCTGCAACTCCTCAGGGGCAAGATTGCCTTCTGCACTATCTCTATTCTCTTACAATCCAGCCTCCCGCAATCTGCATTTGCCCTCTCTCAGAGTTTTGATTGTTCCTTTTCTTAGAGCAGCTTTCATTGAAAAGCAGATAAAATGTGCCCTTTTTAGGCTAAATCAGCATGTTTTAAAGGTAAAATAAACCAAAGAACCACACTGCAAATTCAACAGTAATTATTCCATGGTCTTCATGGTTCCTTCTCCCTGTCTGATTCCTAGGCTAATCTCACAGGACAGGTAGTGCCCTAACATTTGCATCTCTTGAGATGAGGTTTATAGGCAGCAGGAAAAAAGAAATTCCTGAGGCAGTCAGTGTCAAGTTGTGCATGCAGATAGTTCTCAACCCTCTCTGTGCTCTTCACAAACCATTCTCTGATGGGATTGCTGGCAGTGGGACCCTTGAGTCTCATTGCAGAGGGCTGGATGCAGAGTATGGGGGATGTGAAGTAATTTTATCCCACAGGATCTTGTGAGGAGGGCTGAATCTCCTCAGAAGTGGGTCAGTGGCTGTTTCTGATCCTGTCTGTTCTATCTTCTGTTGACTGTGGTTGGTTTGCTCCCTGCTTGCCCAAGTGAGCTGACGTGAACTGCACTGCAGGAGGAATCTCATGCCCTGGTGTCCTTCCGAACCCCTGATCCCTCTCTTTGTGTTGCAGTCCTTTCTCTGTGGTTCCGACCACAGGAACTGTGGGCGCTGGTGACACCGTGGAGGTGACAGTGGGATTTCACCCGCTGAAAAACGATGACTATTGCAAGGACTTGTGCTGCAACACAGGTGAGTGCTGGGCCCTGCAAGGGCACAGGACAGTTCTCCACCATGGCTCCCTGTTCTCCCATCCCCCTCCAGAGGTACCTCCCCTGTTCAGCTTCACCCCAAAGCAAACTGAGAACTCCTTGGTGTTTAGGGGGTTGATAAAGTGGATCCCCTCTAACAGGCTAAGATTCTGGACTCCTCTTTTGCTGGGAGTTTCTGAGTGGAGGAAGGAGGATCCCTGATTCTCCACTACCGTGTGGCTATGCCTGGGTGAAGTTTTCTTTTATTCCTGGGCAGTGCTGTATGTGAGGTGTGAGGTTTCCATCTGACTCTCTCCAATGCAATGGATTTCTTGCACACCTCTGTCCCACATGTTGCTTCTCCATTGGCTTTTCACAGACCCTTTTTCTATGTTGCTCTCTACACATAAATTTAGTTTCTGTCTAATAGCATTTTCAGGCCCTCAAGTTCCTGGGCGGTGACAAATCAAGACAAATTTTTCCTCATCCCCATTTCCCAGGACATTCATGCTGCTGCAAACCTCTCACATCTATCTCCCATTTGATTTCTAGACTAAGGGAGTCTTCATACAGAAGCTGCTCTGTACTTATTAAACTTTCCTTTGTCCCTTTTAAATTTGAAATGCTTCAGCTTGGTTTTTGAGATCAGAACAATATAAAATATTTCAAGACTGATGTGGCTGTGTGTTTGGATCACATCATTATGATGATGATAATTTTAATGGTGTTCATTTTGTAGTGGTTTGTCATAATGCAGAGCCAGGCTGGTTGTGTTTCCTCACTTGTTTCCCCTACTGCTGTGGGCTGTCACTTCACTTGTTCCTCTGGGCCTCCTTTTGCTGCCCACATGCCCTCAGGCATATTTGCTTGTCAGCAACAAGGGATCCAAGGGATCAGGAGAGACAGGATTCTTTTGGGATGCCCAGGGGAGACCCTGGGCAAGGCAGGACTGAACAGGGCTCCTCAGCGTGATCTGAGTGTGTCACCTGAGCACATCTGACAAATCTCACTGTACACACTGTCACCTTGGGACAAAGCTCTAGAAACACACTCAGAAATAAGGTGTTTAAGGAGCTGCCCAGGACGTCCTCACACTGTGCACACAGAGCTATCAGGATGTGATAAATGTACTGATCCACAGAACTGCTAATACAGCTAAAAGCTGTGACACTTCCTTCTGTGACCTGTGGTTTGCTCTGTTCCTTGTGCTTCCATCAGCCAGTGAGCTGAGCAAAGACTCCCCTTTGCTTTGTTCCAGGTGAAGAAATTATCAAGATAAACCTCTACGGAGACGCTATAGATTTCGATATTGGGTTCACCACAAATTCTGTGGAGGTTGAGAAGACTTTCATCACCATGTCAAACTACACAACCATGCGCGTTTGCAACAGGAGTAGGATCACAGTCCAGTTCCAGTGGAAGGCTTTTCCTACTGAGGAAGATGAGAATGAAGAGAAGAAGAGGTTGGTTTGAAAGATACATTTCAGTGCCCAAGATACATACACGGCCCAAGACTAAAACTAATGTGTGGCCTCAGGGGGGGGTTGGTGCTTTTGAATGGTTTAGACCAAGTAAACCATCCCTGGCACCAGGGTGTGTGTCCCTGGGCTTCAGGAGCTCAGCACTAACCATACCAGTTCCATTTATACTCTAACCAGGAATGGCATTTTGGGAAGGAAAGGTTGATTGCAATGATTGGATTTCCTCAAGTTCTAATTGGGCTTTTGTCTCTCTAATCTTCTTCCTACATGACCTGGCAACATCCTTAAACAGCTCCTGATTTGCCAGCCCCTCTTTCCAAAGGTGATACACCCTCTTTTATTCCCTTAGTTCCTTCAAGAGCTCCTTGCCCATCCAGGCTGGTTGTCTTCCCTGTCAGCTTGTCTTTCAGCACACAGGGACAGTTTGTTCCTGTGCCTTCAAGACTTCTTTCTTGAAGTATGTCCATCTTTCCTGGACTCCTTTGTTTTTAAGGGCTGTTTCCCAAGGCACTCTCCAAATCAGTCTCTTGAATAGGCCGAATCTGCTCCCCAGAAGTCCGGGGTGGAAGTTTTGTTGATGCCCATCCTTGTTTCACCAAATATTGATAACTCTATTATTTCACAGTCACTGCACCCCAGACAGTGGTGAACAGATGAAGTTCATGTAGTTATTAGAGAATCCCCTTGTGATATCCAGTGCCTGGATCCCAGGGAGGCAGCACTGTGGAACGGATCTGGTCAATATACAGGGCCCTCAGCTCCCCTTAGAACAGAATCACCCACTACCACTACTCTTCTTTTCTTCTTAATACTTGAGGCTGTGATCCGTTTGACAGACCAAGTATAACTGGGAGACTCTCCAGAAAGAATTTTTTCTTTAGTGTCATCTCCCTGACCCTCTGGAGCCAGGGCCTCATACCAGTTCTGTCAGGGCACCTGGGCAGGTGATGGAGGTGAGGATGGAATTTTATTACCTCCCCAGTAGAGACCCATTTCCATTCCCCACTGTCTCTTAGGTCTTCTCCTTCTTCCTGATAACAAGAAGGGCAGGGCTCCTCTGGCTCCTGCTGAGCTTCTCTCAGGGTTGGATGGGTGTTTATTTATTTTTCATTCTCCCTAATGCTCCTCAGCCTTTCCACTTCTTCCTTAAGTTCTGCTGCCAGACAGAGCAGATAATTCAGCTGCTCACATCACACGCATGTGTTTTTCACACTATCCTCTGATATTAACAACAGGCTCAGACCCTCCCAGCAATCAGGGTCCTGGACAGCTGCATCCTTCCTGGGGGGTTCTGTTTGAGTTAGTACACTCCTGCTGGCAGCAGCAGCAGCAATGGCTTTTCATCAGCTTTAAACCATTGCTGGGGAAAAGAAAAAAAAAGGCAGAAAGAAGAAAGAAAGAAAAAAAAAAGGCTTGCACCTCACAACCAGCCAATAGACACAACCCGCTACACAAGGAGGGTGGGTGGCTGCACCCTTTCTGCTCAGCCTGCTTGCACGAACTGCCACGCAAAAACTGAAAAATGCCGTGCCAAAAGTGCTGGGCCAGAACTGCTGTGGCAAGTCCCTGTTTGCTGTGGGCCAGGTCGCTCACACTCCCCAGAGTCATTTTAAATTGCCTGCAAAGCACCAGGAGATTGACCCTTGCCTGCTTGAATGGCTGGTGAAAGGGTCCTTTAGTGCCCTGGGCTTCTCGGTTTTCCACTGTTCTCTATCTCCTTGCACAGTGTTTGACTTCCATAGAAGCTCTGTGTGTTAAAAGAAAAGCCCATGACCTTCTCTGGCTACTTCCCTGGGCTGTTTATTTCCATTTTTTCCCACTTGCCTGCCTCAGTCTGGACCCCAGGTGATCCACTTTCCCCTCAGAAGCAACTATGTTTCCCCAATATAAACTTCAATCTGGTTTTGGTTTTTTTTCCAGTTACATCTGTTTTTATGGCAGTCTGTGTCCTAGACTGTCACTAGGACATTTTGTTCTTCCTTACTTCCAGTCATAGGAATGGTTTTAGCTCCAAGGCCACTGTCCTGCTGTCAGAGAAGCTTTTGAGATATCAGAGCAAAGAGGGCTTTTTATGAGAGGAGATAGTGCAGGATCCTTTCCCTTTCAGGACATTCTACTACCGTGCACTGGGATGGGGCCCAAAAAGCTCTGGATCATGAAAATGTCTCTCCAGGAATTTGCTGTCTGCCTCCGGCACAACAAAGTCCCTTCCCCTCTCAGAGCCTCTGTTTTCATGCATATAAAACCTTGAATGTCACTGAAGGGGTGTGGCACCTGAATTAATCAATTTCCTTTGGAAGTGCTCTGGGATGCTCTTGTGAAAGGGAGAGTAGGGAACAGGGCAGGTCCAGAAGAAGAAACAAAGAGTGATGCTGGTAACACGTAGCTGCGACCCAGCTTCATCTCCCCTTCCCAGGGAAGTCCTGCTCCATCATCTTTATCTGCTTCCCCCAAGCAGCTCAGTGGTAGGAAAAGCCACTTGAAGTGGCTGGTGGATTCTCCCTCAGTTATGGCAGAGGCTTTCAGCCAGGAGGTTCTCCTGAGGGCTGCTGGTTTTGGAAACATCTCCTGAGCTTGCAAGCGTGGAGTAAAACTAGCTGCTGTGCCAGTGAACAAGTTATCCTCTGATCCATCTGGGACCCCCATGGCTTGGGGTCAGCCTTTGCTGGGGAGCTGCTGCTGCTCCTCCCCAGGTGCTTTGCTCTCCTGCACTCACACTTCTCTCTGCAAATATGTGGCTTATTAAACAATCTGCTGTCCTTGTCTCTCCTGTGGCTGCAGGCAGCAGATACCGCTGGAGCCAAGAATGTTGTTTCTGGACAACTTAATTGAGGAGAAAAAAGAGAAGGTGAACGGCTTTTGGGAAGATCGCACTACCCTCCCGAGCAACATAGCCGAGAACTTGGTAAAGATGCCAGAAGACCCCTTGCTGTTCTCTGATGACGTTTTTTTCATCGAGCCAATGGTAAGTGATAGCTGAGAACCTCATTTTCCTCCTCCTCAGCTCAAGGCAGGGCTGGGAGCCTGAAAAAGCTGAGCTCTGCTGCCAGGGCTGGAGCTCAAGGGCACTCTGTGCATGTCCTTGCAGTGTCACAGGAAGCAGTTATTGTAGGTAGGGGCTCCCCTGACCCGTGGGATTCAGCAGAGGCTGGTGGAGCACTGCCAGCTCACACACTGACCTGAAGCTTGCAATGGTTCACTGGGAAAAGGAGGCCAAATTCAGCCCAAGGTTAATCCCATAAATGCCAATGCCCTCCTGTAACCATGCCTTGCACTATTTCTGAGTGTCCCTTGCAGTGTCATCTGAGAGCCTGGACACAAGGCTGGAAGGTTTCACTGGGTCTTTTGAGTTCTTCTGCACAGAGGGACAGAAAACCTTTTCCTTTTCTGTTTGTGCAAGCAAAGTGCCACGTGCTCCCATCAACCAGAGCCCTGATTCAGAGCACTGGCATTGTGAGAGATGATGATCTGAGTACTGTCATTGTGGGAGGTGATGAATGCCTGGTGTCTGCACAGTGCAGAATCCCTTCTCATCTTAGAGTAAACCCTAGAATAATGCCAACCTCTGCTTTCTTTCAAAACAGGTTTAACTAATGTATTTATTTCCAAGGAAGGGGATCATCTTCTCTTCTTATGAAGAGCCACCAGTGCACAGTGGCAGTTGCCTCCCACTGCAGCTGACAGCAGCCTGATGTGACCAAGAGCTTGTGTCAGAGCAGTGGGAATATTGTGAAGAGTGGGAGCTGATCAGCTGAGCATTGAGAGCTCCCAGCATTATGTTGAGCTGGGTTTGGAGTGTTTCCTTGGGCTCCTTGTGTTGTTCACTCATCGTTGATGCTCTAAATAAATAAAGGCTTACAGGACTGTGGTTGAAAACAAGAAACAAAGCTTGAAGATAAATGTTTTGCTGTCTCTCTCTGTTTTAGGAGGGAGAAATTGAGCCGTATACCTCGGCTGAAATCAAGGTGACCTTCAAACCCCTAGAGGCACTAGAGTACCAAAATATGGCTTACTGCAACATCTCAGGTACAGCTCCTTTCCCCTGCTTCTCTCACCCACAGTGAGGCCATGGTGCAAGCCTGGGCTCCCGTGTAACTGCTGGGAAGAATCCCTGGTCAGGAGGGCAGTGCTGGCACATTCCCACTGGCCCTGCAGCTTCCAGGGAGTCTCCTGTGCAAGGCCAGGGCTCAGAACACCCGTGTGTGGGTTACCAATCCCAGAACAGCCCAGGCAGTGCAGGGAGAAGTTTTCATACCATGCCTTTGCCAACATTTCCTCAAAGGCCAGAGAGCTACAGAGCAGAACATCTTTAGTGAACAAGCACTAAGCCCCTCTAGAGAACACTGACCTCCAGGATGGGTCCATTTGACATGGATCCATCATCAGGCAGCAGCAGCTGAGTTAGAAATGTGGTCCCTGAGCCTGGATCATCTCCCACTGCCCAGACACCACCAGAGCAGAGGTGGCTGAGCCCCACTGAGCCCAGGGTATTTGTAGAAGGAGCACCCTTGGCAAGCACCTGCTTCTCTCCCAGTGTGGGAATTGTCACCTTGCAGCTCGCAGTCTGTGGAAATAGAACACCGTGCTGAGGGTCAGAAGTTGAGGACTTTGGCAGGACTTTGGCAACAAAGTTGTGTGCTGCTGGGCCAGGTAGTTTGGCAATTGCTGCCCGGCAATTTGCTCTTTATGAGCTTTGTGCCTTCACTGAATGGATTTCAAAGCTCCTCTAAGTGCATGGGAAAGAAACCACAGAATCATAGTATGTTCAGGATGGAATGGGCCTTAAAGATTGTCTAGTCCCCTCCCACTAGATCAGGTAGCTCCAAGCCCCATCCAGCCTGGCTTTGAACACTTGCAGGGCCAGAACCTCGCCCCTGGGGAATCTGCCCCAGTGTCTCACCACCCCCACAATAAAATATTTCTTCCTAATATCTAACCTAAATTTCCTTTCTTTCAATCTATACCCATTATGCTTGGCCTGTCACTACAGGACATCAGGGATGTTTTAAACTCAGCAGACTGGTGGCTAAAATTGGAAACCAGACCAAGGAATGGGTTAGAAATTGCAAGTCAGCCCCAAGGGATATCTCCTGAAGGAAGAGAAGGATCTATATCTTCTCCTGCAGCATCAGGAGCTGGTTGCATCCAGCTCAGAGTCAGGGATTAGCATTGAGGCAGCCTGGAAAATACAGTGTAACAGAGGGAATGATTGTACTGAAATGGACATCTCTCCCCAGGCCTTGAGAGCAGGCTGCCCCTGCACCTCAGAGGGGAAGGCCAAGAACCCCTGGTTGCATTCAGCTGTCATACACTGAACCTTGACAACATTTTTATCAACTTCCCCCACGTCTGTGAGGTGAGCAGCAGGGGCTGGGATGGGTCCTGATGGCTCCTGAGGTGAGCAGCAAGCCTGGTGGAGCTGTGGAATTCCTGGCAACTTGGGCAGTTGTGAGCAGGGAATATTTGACATACTGGTCAAACCTGGTGGGGTCTGAAAGGTGTGTCTGTTGTTCATGAAGCCCCAATGCTTTTGGGCAGCCTTCCTTAGGGATCAGAACGTCAAGAAAAAAAAAAATAAAAAAAATCAAGGGAGAGCAACTGAAAGAGGTAGAAAATGAGGCACTACATCATGCCAGACACTTTCAAAAGCTTGGCTGTGGAAGGGAAAGACACGCGGAGTTTTCTTACCAAAAGATGATGCTGTCTATACTTTTTGATGCTGATGGCTCATAATCAATACATTGTTTTCATATGGGAAAAGGTGAATGAATAGATGGTGCTGTTGGAGCTGTGCAGGCTGGGGCAGCAGCAGCTCAGTGCTGATTCACTAGGCAGCTGCAATCACCACACTCAGGGCTCTCAGGGCCAGGTTTCAATGAGCTTGGTGATGCTGCCCAGAGGTGCACTGCTCTGTCTCCATGGGATAACCCCAGGGTGACTGCAGTTCTGTGGAGTTACCACTGCTTTGCATGAAAACCCAAAGGCAGAACTTGTCCTGTTGTATTTTTTGGCTTCTGCCATTCAGCAGCACAAAGCATCCTTCTGCCTTTTCTGGGTGTTAATTGCATCCTTAGACAATAACTCACAAGAAGGGAAGATTCCACACATGTATTTCCACTTTGCTTTCTTGCTGCTGCAGGTGAAACTGGTTAACAAAGGAGATCTTGATGCTCCCTTCACCTATATCCCTTCAACCACAAAGGTGGGCTTTCCCTTCAAGTTTGAGCCCGAGGAGGGGATCATTGCAGCAGGTGGGACCCAGACTGTTCAGGTCTCCTTCAGTCCCACCGTGTTGGGGTGCTGCTGTGCTAGATTCAGGACACCCATGTTGGTTGTTTAAGCTATTGCTCTTGGCTGTGCCAGCTGGTGCACTGCTGACAAGCTGCTCCTTTCCTCTAGGATTCATCTGTCCCTGTGTAGAACTGTTGCTGCTCTTTTCAGAGGATGTTTGGGGCTGCCCTGGATTCATATCTCTCACTCTGTCTGTAATGATTGTGTGGGTCAAAATCTCCTGAGAAAGCTTCTCCATGGGAACACCAATTACAGCTAAGAAGTAGCAAAGCAGGGAACCTGTGGCTGGAAGGGCTGGTTACAGAACTTTGTGGGGACACCTTTATGTCCATCACATTATAGATGGGGAAACGAGGCACAGAGCCACGTCTGGGTGTGTGTTCAGGGTGCTTCATGGGACCACCAGCAACTTGGGGGCTTTTCCTGCCTGCCCTGTGCCCAGAGCCCATCAGTGGCTGCTGGCTGCTGGCCACTTGGCTTTAGCTGCCTCCTGTGCACAGGGGCACTGTGCTGAGCACACGGTGTGTGTTGGTTTGAAACCCATGGTGCCCTGACACCAGGTTTTCTGGCCCGAGCCATGACAACCGGACCTTTGCAATTCCTTTAACCAAGGCATTTCCTGCTCTGTCTCTGCCATCCAGGGGCAGCGTCACTGGACCAACTTTACTCTTCGATGTTGATGAGCTCAACTTTGGTGACATCTCCTTTGGTGAGTGCTCCCTGGGCTGGGACACAGTGTGAGGGATCTGTGTGTTCCAAAATAGAGCACTTGAACATAAATTCATCTGTCACTCGTGGTCTGCCACAGCAGCTTCTTCAGGGTGTGAACTCCAGGGCTGCTGGTGCCTCAGGTAGTATTTTGCCATTGTGAGATCAAATAGAACCAAGGATTGCTGGCAGCAATCACAGTGAGCAGCAAGGGTGTGATGTCCCCGTTTGTTGGGTGAGGTGGAACATGGTTCCTAATTGCTAATCTCAAAGCAAGGCTCAGTTTGCCCCAAGTTGAGTGGGCTCTGAGCTGTCTCGTGCTCAGTCTGTTTGGGCCAAACCAAGAGATGCCTTAAGGATCCTGCAGAGAGAAGCTGCATTAGGGTGCTTTGCATCACGTTCTGGTTCCTGATTCCATCCTCACTTTCTTTTGCTGTAACTTCTTCTCCATGACAGCTCACTGTTTATATATCTTGAAAGTGGTGGGAGTGTTGGCAGGCTTAACAGGCAATTTTACAGCTTGAATTTTCAGAGTAAATGCTCGGTCTGGGTGCACACTCATCACTGAGAGATAACTGGTGCTGGTTTGTGGCAGCTGAGGGAGCTCTTCCCCATCACAAAGAGAGAAGCTTGCAGTGTTCAGCAGGGCTAAGAGTGGGCATTTTTAAGGCTGCAGTCTGGAATCAGTATCAAAGGGAATTAAGTGATGATTAATTCCTCATGCAGCTTCTCGGTGAGCTGTAGTTCAGATAACAAAGAGCTAAACTCCAATCCCACTTTCATCCTGCCAGGATATTCACACCAGGAGTCATGCCATAATTGGTGCCTAAATGCTATTTGTGTCCTCTTCCTAGGCTTTCCCTACACCCAGTGCTGTCGGCTCACTAACACCTCTGTGGTGCCCGTGACGTTCAAGCTCCGCATGTCAGACGATGGCACGCAGCCGGCTGTTGACAGCATTGATCAAATACGCAGTGACAGTGACCCATCCTGGAGGAAGGGAATTCATTTTTATGTGGAGCCAAGGGAGTTTAGAATGAATCCCAGCCAAGGGACCATCCTCCCCCAGGAACACCAGGATATCGAGGTACAGGAAGAGTCCAGCCAGAGACGCTTCAGCACCAAGGCTGAAGTTTCACTGGAGTGTGGGAGGGTTTTAGCTCTGGGGCCAGCTTTGAGCATTGTGTGGGTGAGAGATCTGCACTGCTGTGAGGCCTCTGATAGCTGGGTTACTTGGGATGTTCCTCAAGGAGGACTGTTTTGTTTCCAAAATCATACACTGAGATCAATGTATGTCAAGTACTGAAGCCATTCTTGCGATTTGAGAGTGATTTCTTTGGTTGCAAGTGGGCAGAGCAAGGATGAGGACAGAAGATGGCTGTTAGAGAGATGTCATTGTATAAAACAGTTTGCTTTTCTTCTTGGTCTCATTTCTCCTCTCCTGGGGAGCAGGGATCTCCAGTGGAGACAAAATTCTGCAGCCATGAACTGCCCAGCACCTGCTGGGCCACACTTTGCCCTCAGCTTCCTGCTGTAAAGCTGAACTCATTCTGTTCAAGTCAGCAGATTTCCTCTGCATTTATGTCATTGTAGTCAGATGAAAAATTGGCCCCTTAATTTGAATACAGTGGTGCATAGAGCTTTAGACTAATGTTTTAATGTAGCTGACCTATGTCCTGATAGCAAGGTGTGTTTAACAAATCTGGTATTGCCAGAAGGCTTTTGCTACTCTCAGAGACTGTGCTCTACACATGGACCAGCAGAAGAATTAAGACAAAATCTGCACTTTCCTTACCATGAAACAAGAACTGGAGGATATCACACGTGGGTCATGAGCTTTTGTATGGAAGAATTTACTGCTCTTCTCTTCCACCAGGTGACCCTGTGTTCCAACTCAGTGATGGAGTTCTACAGGCCAATGCTGGTGGATCTGGAGGGTGTTGGCAAGGGAGTGGCATCACTGGTCATCTCAGCCAGGTACCAGCCCTTCCCTGGCCTCCCCCAGCACACTGCCTTGCACAGGGTTTGCTGGCTGCAGCTGCCAAGGTGAAGAGCTGTTTAATGACCTCATGTTGTGCCCAGTTGGACATGAGAACAGCAGAGCTTGGACAGCAGCCTGTGGTGAAAAGCAGCCCTGCTCACAGCCCAGCATGGTCCTGGGCCCTTTTCTAAAGGGACCAGGAATGATAAAATTTATTGGCCTGGGTTTTGGTGCTTGAGATGGAACAAATTTCCAGAGGGCCTCCTCTCCCTCTTCCTGCAAGGGTAGAGTTGTGCTGGGTTGTGACCACCTTGCATTGGTTTGGGACACACCAGGCAGCCTGCTGAGAGCCAGGGTCTGGTTTGGTTAATGAGGGCATGTGGCAGGGGGGAAGTGGCTCACAGCAAGAGTGGTGAGGGCAAGGTCTTACGAGGGGAAAGCAGCCCTTGATGTGGCAGGTCAGCTCTAGTTTTTCTCCTTCCCTCTGCTTCCCATTTTGAGCTTTAATGTTCTCAGACTTAAACCAAAAGTCATTCTTGCTGCAGCAGAATTCCATCCTGCTGTGCTGCTGTGGGTGTCAGTTTGATGCCAAGAGGGATGCAGTTCCCTGGGGCTGTTCCCTCTCCCAGGCAGAGCCATCCAGGCAGTGCCTGGGCTGCCATTTTGGCAAGCAAGTGGAACTGGGGACAGTCAGTGCCTGGAGCTGTGGAGGGAAGGACTGAGGGAGCTGTAGGACCTGGGAGGAGCTGATCAGCTACTCTGGAGGGCAGCTGGTGTCTCGTGCCCTCCAAGGCTGGGGCAAGCAGCTGAGTTCCCAGGCAGGGCAACAGCACCAGGGAGAGAAGGGGGTAATTTTTATGGGGACACTAGAGTTGTGTGTTCCTTGAGCCTTAGTGAGCACTGATCCTTGTTGGGAAGATTCCCCCAGAGCTTTTGCTGCAGCAGAATTCCATCCTGCTGTGCTGCTGTGGGTGTCAGTTTGATGCCAAGAGGGATGCAGTTCCCTGGGGCTGTTCCCTCTCCCAGGCAGAGCCATCCAGGCAGTGCCTGGGCTGCCATTTTGGCAAGCAAGTGGAACTGGGGACAGTCAGTGCCTGGAGCTGTGGAGGGAAGGACTGAGGGAGCTGTAGGACCTGGGAGGAGCTGATCAGTTACTCTGGAGGGCAGCTGGTGTCTCGTGCCCTCCAAGGCTGGGGCAAGCAGCTGAGTTCCCAGGCAGGGCAACAGCACCAGGGAGAGAAGGGGGTAATTTTTATGGGGACACTAGAGTTGTGTGTTCCTTGAGCCTTAGTGAGCACTGATCCTTGTTGGGAAGATTCCCCCAGAGCTTGTGGATCACTGGGGCTGTTACAGGAGTCCTTGCAAGCCTTCTTGGGTAAAGGAGGGGCTGAGGCAGCTGTGGGACACAGTGCTCTGCCTGGGGCACTTGACAGCCTCTGGGTGCTGCCTCTCAGGGTTTGCCCCTCCTTGACAAGACATGTTTGAGGCGGAAAACTTTGAAGGCAATTTATCACTGTAGGGCTGTTAAATGTCCATTTGATAATGACAAATGTGTTATGCTCCATTTCGCAATCTTTGGGAGTGAATGTTCTCCATTCTCTCAGTATCTCTGATTCCCTTGGGGTCATCTCTTTGCCCAGATGTCTCGTTCCTAAGCTGCATGTGAACCCTGAAATCCTGTTCTACGATGAGTGCCGCCTGAAGGTGCCATACGAGAGGAAGTTCCTTGTTACAAATAGCACCGATCTTCCTGGCTGCTATGGGCTTATTCCTCAGGTTTGGCATCACATCCACTTCCTCCTCTCAAATATTATTGAGGAGATTATTAGGGGGAAACAAGGGTTTGGATAAGGCCTTGTTGGTTTCTATTCAGTCTTAAAGACCTGTTGAGAACAGGATCCTGAATGTAAACTTTAGGATGCAGTTCAACCTCCTGAAGAAACAGTTTTATGTTCTAGTCTTCAGGCTGTTTTCTCATGGGAGATCTTAGAGGGTTGTGAAAAGCTGCTGCATCCACAGACACCAATGCCTGTGCTGGCAGCCTCCTTGCAGGATCCCCTGGGAATGCTAAGCCTACAATTCTTGCATCTTGTTTGTGCCTTTTACCTTTGTCCTGAGCATTTTTAAACACGTGTGTGAGTTGCTGTTGCAGTGGATGTTAGGGAGTGTAAAGTTTCTTCAGAGGTGCCTCTGAAGTTGCATTTCATTGTGTCTCTTGCAGAAACGCAAGGAGGACTCTGCTGTACTGATCCTTGTTGGGAAGATTCCCCCAGAGCTTGTGGATCACTGGGGCTGTTACAGGAGTCCTTGCAAGCCTTCTTGGGTAAAGGAGGGGCTGAGGCAGCTGTGGGACACAGTGCTCTGCCTGGGGCACTTGACAGCCTCTGGGTGCTGCCTCTCAGGGTTTGCCCCTCCTTGACAAGACATGTTTGAGGCGGAAAACTTTGAAGGCAATTTATCACTGTAGGGCTGTTAAATGTCCATTTGATAATGACAAATGTGTTATGCTCCATTTCGCAATCTTTGGGAGTGAATGTTCTCCATTCTCTCAGTATCTCTGATTCCCTTGGGGTCATCTCTTTGCCCAGATGTCTCGTTCCTAAGCTGCATGTGAACCCTGGAATCCTGGTCTACGATGAGTGCCGCCTGAAGGTGCCATACGAGAGGAAGTTCCTTGTTACAAATAGCACCGATCTTCCTGGCTGCTATGGGCTTATTCCTCAGGTTTGGCATCACATCCACTTCCTCCTCTCAAATATTATTGAGGAGATTATTAGGGGGAAACAAGGGTTTGGATAAGGCCTTGTTGGTTTCTATTCAGTCTTAAAGACCTGTTGAGAACAGGATCCTGAATGTAAACTTTAGGATGCAGTTCAACCTCCTGAAGAAACAGTTTTATGTTCTAGTCTTCAGGCTGTTTTCTCGTGGGAGATCTTAGAGGGTTGTGAAAAGCTGCTGCATCCACAGACACCAACGCCTGTGCTGGCAGCCTCCTTGCAGGATCCCTGAGAATGCTAAGCCTACAATTCTTGCATCTTGTTTGTGCCTTTTACCTTTGTCCTGGGGATTTTTAAACATGTGTGTAAGTTGTTGTTGTGGTGGATGTTAAGGAGTTTAAGGTTTCTTCAGAGGTCCCTCTGAAGTTGCATTTGATTCTATCCCTTCCAGAAACGCAAGGAAAACTCTCCTGTGTTCTACTCCAGCCCCAAACCCTGTGGGATTGTCCAGCCTCACAGCTTTGCAGAAATCCCAGTTTTAATCGAAGTCCAAACACTGGGCAAGCATCGCACCAGTGTTCTTATCGGCGTGTTTGGGGATGAGAGAAACCCACTGGTGAGTGCAAGGGGAGATGTGTGCAGCTGCTCCTGGCAGGGTGCAAGGGGCACAGGGATTCTTTCAGGGAAAACAGGCACAGGCTGCTGTGGAGAAGGCCAGGAGGGATGGGTGGCACAAACAGCTCGTGCCTCATAGGTGGTAATCTCAGTGTCTGACACAGAATGTAGTTTGTCTAAGCTGGAATCAAGGATTATTTTAGTTAATTAATCTTTAATGCTATTAACTTTGGAAACATCTGTTTTAAAATGTCTTGTCATCTCTCTGAGCACAAAAGAAGATGTCAGAAGACTTCTGGGAACTTCTGTAAAAGAAAGGAAAGCTGGCATTTGAAGAGTAGTTGGAGAAGGATTTAAACTTATATTAAAACATACGGAAATGATTATGCCAAATTCCCTGGACAGCACCAAACATCTGCACCTGGGCCATTCTGGCATTGTATCAGTCAACAGGAAGGACAGGCAGTGCAAGCTGTGCCAGGGAGCCTGAAGTCTGACAAAACAGTTGCTTTCAACTATCAGGCTGCTTACCTTCAAGAGGAGGGTTTCTCCCCCCTCCCCTAATAACCAATTGTTTAACTCTCAGCCTGGTCTTAACTAGAAATTCCTTGCAAAGCTTCTACCTGTGGGCCAATAATTTGTGGTTTGAAAGTCTCTTGTATCTTAATCCTTTTAAATTTGGAGGTGAATATGTAATTTTTTTTTTCACAGCACTGTAGAAATCCCAGTTTTAATCGAAGTCCAAACACTGGGCAAGCATCGCACCAGTGTTCTTATCGGCGTGTTTGGGGATGAGAGAAACCCACTGGTGAGTGCAAGGGGAGATGTGTGCAGCTGCTCCTGGCAGGGTGCAAGGGGCACAGGGATTCTTTCAGGGAAAACAGGCACAGGCTGCTGTGGAGAAGGCCAGGAGGGATGGGTGGCACAAACAGCTCGTGCCTCATAGGTGGTAATCTCAGTGTCTGACACAGAATGTAGTTTGTCTAAGCTGGAATCAAGGATTATTTTAGTTAATTAATCTTTAATGCTATTAACTTTGGAAACATCTGTTTTAAAATGTCTTGTCATCTCTCTGAGCACAAAAGAAGATGTCAGAAGACTTCTGGGAACTTCTGTAAAAGAAAGGAAAGCTGGCATTTGAAGAGTAGTTGGAGAAGGATTTAAACTTATATTAAAACATACGGAAATGATTATGCCAAATTCCCTGGACAGCACCAAACATCTGCACCTGGGCCATTCTGGCATTGTATCAGTCGACAGGAAGGACAGGCAGTGCAAGCTGTGCCAGGGAGCCTGAAGTCTGACAAAACAGTTGCTTTCAACTATCAGGCTGCTTACCTTCAAGAGGAGGGTTTCTCCCCCCTCCCCTAATAACCAATTGTTTAACTCTCAGCCTGGTCTTAACTAGAAATTCCTTACCTGTGGACCAATAATTTGTGGTTTGAAAGTCTCTTGTACCTTAATCCTTTTAAATTTGGAGGTGAATATGTAATTTTTTTTTTTTCCCAAAAGCCCAGCGTTTCAGCTGGAGAGTGGCAGCAGCCCCTAAAGAAATAACTTGAGTGGTGTTGAGCTGTTTAAGCTTTTCTAGCTTTCCCTGTTGTGGTTTGTTTTGGGTTTTTTTGAAATCTTTCTTGCCTGCTTCCTGGAACAGAGAGCAGAATTACGTAGCTCTGGAGAGCTGGCAGAAATCTACCCAAGTCCAAGGCTGATAGAGTTTGGCACGATCCCAGTACTGCAGCCTACTTCACGAAGCTTTAGCCTCCTCAACGAGAGTCTCGTCCCTACAGACTTCAGGATAGAGATGGTGAGTATCTGTGGGGCTGTTTTCCAGGGAAAGGGACTGGTCAGTAGCAGCCATGACTTGGTTTTTATATGCATGGTTTCCATATTGCCCTGTGTGAAAGGAGGCAAGATACTCCAATATTCCATCTGAGACGGACAAGAGGAACCGGCTCTGGAGTGGTTTTAGCTGGGGCACCCCTCAGTGAAATCAGGTGCAGAGATGTTGGAGCAGAAATTAGTCTGGACTATGTCTCCCTTAATTTTACAGAAGGTCTTTAGCTGTGCCTGTCACACTTTTGGAGCTCCGAGATCAAGAGAAACCTGCGGTCCTTTGCTCCCCAGAGCATGGATTTCATTGTGGTTTCCCTGTTCCATCTATCTGCTTTGTGCCAAACTGCTGTTAACAGTAGAGAGCAGGGTGTGAGGTCTGTCCTGAGACTGCTCGTGGGGAGGCAATTTTCACACCTCCTGTGGGTCAAGCCAGCTGGGCTGTCCACACAAAGGACGTGTGGGGGTTGTGCAGCCCCACAGCCTGTGATCTCTGTGCCCTTGAGGAGCATCTTGGGGGACCAGCTGCAGAGAAACGCTGCCTAATACGTGGAGGCTGCATAGGGCAGAAGGAGCTGGGGCTGTTACCCTGGCATCCACTTCTCTTGCCCAGTCTGTGAAGTCCATGAGAAACCAGATGATGAGAGCTTTTGGGAAGAGTAGGCCATGCCCACAGAGCACGTGCATCCAGTTTTCTTTCTGCTTCCTGCTTTCCTGCTCTGCTACAACCATTTAGAGGTGACTTTCCAAAGCAGAGGGCATTGGGGCACCTCTCTACAGCTGATGATCAGTGGGAAGTGAGGGCTTCAGTCCTTTAGGGGATGCTGAGAAGCACTGATGGCCCCTTGGGAGAGAAGAGTTTGGTGTTGGGGTTTTGCACAACTGGTTTTGCAGAGATACTCTTCAGGCTCTCAGCAGTATCCTCCAGCTGTGTGGTTTCTGCAGTGGCATTTGAGAAGTCCTGGCTTCCTCTGGCCTTGAGCCTTTGTGAGAAGCCAGGAAAGAGAAAGCAGCTTTCCTTGGCACACATTCCAGAGAAAGACTGGGGAAGGAACACTCTCCTGAGGATAAGCATCCCTTGGGTTGGGCAAAACTGGGTGGGTTAATTAGGTGAGTCTGTTAAAGGAGGGGAGAATACAGGTTGTATGAGCTCTGCTGTTGCCCAATACTGTATTTTAGGGATTTTAAGCCTGTATGGTTTTTATCATCCTCTCTATAGTCTTTCTTTTCTTGTATCCCACAAGAGACCAGGGTGTATGGTTTCCATCCTAATGCACATTATGCTTGTCTTACAGGCCTCGAGACCCCAGTGCTTTGTCATTGAACCCAGAGAAGGAGTGATCCCTGCTAGGGGTGAGGTGCCTGTGACTATCACAGCAATGCTGGATGACACTGGGCATTTTGCTAACAGTGTCCGGCTGTTGATTGGGAACAGCCTTTGGACCGCCTGCGGGCTGGTGGCTTTGGGCACTGGCACCACAATTGTCATAGACAAGCCATTCGCCCCGGAGCTCAATTTGGGATACCAGTTCAGGTAGGAGATCTCTCCACTCCCACCTCTCCTACTGTCTCAACAAGGAGCAGTTTTACTGTAGTCCTTCAGGCAAGGTCTTCTTCAGTGTCCAAAGCCCTGACTCCTTCTCTGAAGGCAGAGATTCCCTTAGAAACGTGTGATGGGCAGTTGAGAGTTGTTAGACACCCTCAAAAGCCACTGACAGGGAAACCAGTTGCTAAATTGCCACTGAATTGTCTTTAGTTCTAATACATTGATGTCCTCACTTGACCAAGTGGCTGCCCCAGAACAAAAGGTTCCCGAAATGGCACCCGGATGAGGCGGTCCCTCCGTGTGGCTGAGGGACCAAGGGAAGATGGCATCACATCCTTCCCTTCCAAAATGGCAAGCAGGGGCCTGGGAACAAAGAGACAGGAGGGTGACAACCCCCACCGGCAAGGCAGGAGCCCACAGAGCAGTGCCAGAGGCAGACGGAAACTCTCTGGTTTGTGCGGGGTCCCCAAGTGCAGGATCTCAAAGATTCAGTAACAGTTTCAGGCACAGATAATACAAAATACAGCAACAGTATGAAATCACCCCAGAACAAACATTTTGGAGGAAAACACCATGTCCTGTTAGCCTCACCTAGAAAATGCTACATTACCATTATAAACATATTTCCCTTTGCAATAACAACATCAAAATGGCACCTTATCAGACACTATTTCTGGTCTACATTAAAAGCTGGAAATGTAGACAGTCTCCAAGCAATTAACACCTCGGGTTGCTCACTGAGAGCAATCTGATGACCAGGGAAATAGCTGCTCTCCTATTATTTTCCATCCTCCCTTCTATTCTAGCCTCCTTCCCTGTATTCGTCAGTTCAAAGTAACAAACCAGGGCCGCCGTTACCATCGGCTCTTCTGGAGCATCAGCTCACCTGAGAAGGAGGGCCAGAGTGTCTCAGCCCTCAGTTGCCCCAAGGATGATTCCCAGAGCCCCAAAAGTGCCAGCCCTGTGTTTGAGCTGGAGCCATGGTTAATGGAGCTGCAGCCAGGCCAGTCTGCGGACATGGTGGTGCAAGGCTTCTCCCCCATCCCGCAGGTGAGGTCCCCACCACGGGCTGAGCCTGGGGAACCATCAGATCCCCTCCCCTGCGCATGGTCCACAGTCCCTTGACATTTGCCTGGGGAAATGAGCAAAGGCCTTCAGGAAAGTGGTTTAAGACTTCAGGTTTCTGTGGCAGCACCAGTTGCTTTCCTTGCTGGCCACCATCAGACCAGCTAAGGCTTTATTGTGATTCCACAGCTACCAAAATCCAGTGCTGATCCCAAAGTAAGGGTGGAAGGAAATATTGCTCTTTTGGGGCAAACAGTGTTGCATGCTTAGTCAGCAAAGAAGGGCAGAGAAATAAGTTACACTTAGACTACGAGCTCAAAAAGAAAGTGAGTTAAGCAAGTGCCAAGTGATTTATCTGGGGTAAGCAGAGAGTAAAACAAAAGCCATGTGAAGGGAGGGAGTTTCTCACAAGGGCCTTTTGGGTGCAGTGTTACAGACAATTGAGCACAGAATAAATAAGCTGCATCACAGGAAGAAAAGGGGGCAATGACTGTAACTCTGTGGCAGGAATGGGGCCCGTGCTGGGTGTTGGGTGCTGAGCCAATGCAGGGCATTTGCTGGATGCCCTGCCACCACCCACTGGTGACAAGGGACTCTTGCATGCAGGAGGTGCAGGCTCATGTGATGTGTGAAGCTGACAGTGGGCCAGCCATCAAGACAGAGAAGACAAAGATAATAGAAACAGTCATTACCTGCAAATATATTGAACCCTCTATAGAAGTGTCAGCCAGACATTTCTCTTTCCGTGTGGAGAAGGTAAGTCTCTGCATTGCATCCTGGCATTTAACTGCTTGGCTGAGTGGGCTGTGTGCTTGTGTTAAAGCTCCTCTTTACCCTTTCTGAGGCACTTTGTAAAGTGAGTGAAGATGCTTTTAGAGATGAGACTGGGTATTTAACTTCCCCAAAGTAAAATTGCAGTTACAGCTGCACCACCAAGGAGGACCATGGCCACTTGTAGCATCCCCTGAACTCTCCTCCCTTGGTCGAACCCCAAGCCCTCAGCCCTGGAAACACTAACTACTTACTGTAGAGTCATCCCTCCCAAAGGGAAAAACAGTCTTCCCCATGGACTTGGTGTCACAACTTCCTCTGGTTTCTCCTTCCCCAGTCACTGGCTTGGCACCCCTGGTGGCCACCCCCCTTCCCCTGGAGGCCAGTCCCCTCTGCCCAGCCCTGAGCTCTGCCCCCCACCCCTTCCCCTTCTTAAGCTGCCTGCTGCACGTGGTTCATCCTCTTTCCCGTGGGTTTCCCTTCAGCTACTGTGTTATTCTGCTGGAATAAAACCTTGCAAAAGAGCCTTTCTTGCCTCTGTCGCTGAGCCAGTTGCGGTGAGTGTTGAGTGGAGGTTTGACGGCGTTGCCTGAATGTTCACTCAGCTTGTCTTTCCACAGGAAAGGCTTGCTGGGGACAAGAGATAGGCAGCAGCACCTACCACTTTAACACCCACTTTTTTAGCCACTTCCAGACAAATGCCAGTTTCTCTGCTCACTGTAAAGGGAGGGTTTGGAGGATGCTCCAAGGCACGGTGATATGTCTGTACACTGATTCTGTAGGGAAGCTGGGGAAAATGGAGATTCCTGTGAATTCCTCAGGCTGACCTGAGGAAAAACCCATCATCTCCTGTGCCTCTTTCCCTTCTCTGCTCTTGGCATGGATGCTTTATACTATAGCTATATGGTACAGCTCTGTGCATTTCCCTAAGTCTCACCTGCTTCAAAGGACCCCCAGACAGCCTGCAGCTGCAGTGATGATAACACTGAGGCAGAGCAGGTGCCCTTTAGTCTCTGGATCCCAACTCCAGCGTCATCTTTCCCTCTCCTGCAAGTTGTCTGAAAAATACAAGATGTTTCATCCTTTGGTTTCTGTAGTTTCAGGCCTCTCCTCTGGTTCCCAGGCTTCCACTGAAGTGCAGAATCCCTGGAACAGGCAGTTCAGATGTAATTTAGAAGCTTTTCAGCTCTCTCTGATTCTGCCTGGGTTCTGCTCGATGCCACACATACAAACTGATTTATGGCATACTGTGGCACAGCACCTGTTTGATATCAGTACATTCAGAACTAGTTTCCCAAACTCTCTGGTTTCTCTAAACCATGCAGGAAGCCCAGCACAATGCATAGACAGGAATGAAGAGCCTAGGCTTTTATGAGGCTGCTAGAGCCAATAAGGTTGTGAGGAATGACTGTATGTGAGTAAAGACCATCTAGTGCTGTTCTGCCCAATATGAAGACAAAACTGGAGCCAAATGGTCTGGATTCACTTTCTGCTTTAGATCTTTCTTCAAGCAGCCACCTCCTCTCAGGAACCTATTCCCTCATCTGTACATGGGAGTGTTTCCCTATCCCCCAGAGGACGCTGTGATTTCTAAAGATGAAAAGCATCTGCTATAAAGAAAAATCTCCTGGAAGGGTAGAAACAAATAGAAAGGGTAAATAGAGATGTATGCACTTCTGGGGCTGAAGAATGTGAGATGCAGCAGAAGTAGAAGGTGGTCTATGGCTAGTTGAGGCTGTTTTTCCTTGTCTCCGGTTTCCATAGAAATCCAGTGATATCCTGACTCGGCAGTACAAGCCTTTGTCTTTAAAAAACACCTGCCTGCTGCCACTGGACCTTATGCTGGACTTGGAGCAGCCGTTCCTGGTCTGTGATGAGGACCAGCAGCCCCTCCCAGATGGCCAGGTGAGCAGCCCTGGACTCCTCCGGTGGAGTCTGAAGAGGTGGGATGTGGTGGTGCCTTTCTGTTGGGAGCTCCTTGAGTCAAGAAGTTTATTCTGTAGTATCAGCAGTGGGCTGGCCTGGGCTGCATCAGCAGAGCTGCTGAAGGAATCAAAATCTCGCCTGAACTGAGAAAATCCATCCCGGCTTTCAGGCACAAAGAGAAGGGAGCAGGCAACTGGGTCTGGGCAAGCCATGCAATAAAGGTGTCTTCTGGAAAGCATGCCAGCTCTCCAGCAGCCACCCGCTTGTATTGCTGCTGAGCACAGGAACGGGAGCCTGAGGGAATCTTGGACTGGACTGTGGTGCCTGCAGTAAAGAAATGAACCATGAACAGATGCTGGGGGTGACTTTGAACATTTACTGTTTTGTGCTATCAGACCTTGAGACATCCTCCCACAGGTGATTAATCACTGCTCATCTCTTTGCAGCCTGTGAGAGTGGATGTAGGGGAGACCTGTCATCTCTACATTGCATTTGACCCAGCTTATGAACTGAATTTTAAGAGCTGGAAAAAAGAGAAGATGCTAAAGATAAATTTGGTCAGGGACCATCCTTTTGTGGAGCGTATTGTCCTTTGGGGAGAAGTCCGCTTCCCACATCTCCACATCCAGCCCAGCACCCTAGAGTTTGGCTGCATCGTGGCTGGCACTGAAGAAGTGCGCTCTCTGAAGATGACCAACTGCAGCTCTCTTCCCGCCCAGTACCACTGGTCATTCCATTCCAGCAGCCAGGTTTACAGGTTGAGGTATGTGCACCTTTGCCCTCTCCTTGAAGCTCTTCTTGCTGGTGTCGTTTGCACTAGGCAAAGAACAAAGCTGTTTGCCTAGGATCTGACAGACTGCTTCTGACTTTTTCTTGTGCAAATAACACTGACCATCCATGCTGAAGCTGGATGCTCAGGGAATAGGTTTTTCACCAATTTGGTGCTGTGTAGCCCCCATAGTGGTTTCCCCTGGGAAGGAAAGCTGGGGTGAAAGCTGCTTTCTCAGACCTCTGTGGCCTGAGGTAATGTCCACCTTGATGAAGGGCTCCTAGTCCCAGTCCCACAGTGCTGCTGGAGGCCCTTCTGGCCCCTCTGCTTTGGGATGGGTCCTCTCAGAGGAGCAGAGCTGCTCTCTGCTCCTTGCCTTCTTCCCTGGCATTGTGCTGGAGGATGCCCAGAAAGTCCCAACACCAGAGAAAGAGCTACCTAGTGCCTGGGCTGATGCTGAACAGCCAGCTGAACAGCCTTCCCTTTCCTTCTTTTCTGAGACAACTCCTTTACTGCCAGGCCAATTTCTTTCCCAGGGGTCAGCATTCAGTGGACACCTTGGATTCTTCACTCCCTTTTTTGGTGACACTTGTTACTCATTTTGACTTCTTCCCCACTGCAACATATCCCTTATGGGTTCTGTACTGCTTGACAGCGGAACTCATTCATCACATCATCTCCTATCCCTGCCTCCCAGAGAGTTTCTACTTTAGAACGAAAAATGCCATTGTCTGGGCACCATGGTCCTGAGAAGTTGCCTCAAACCATTCATTAAAACTAAAGACAGCAGAATAGATGATTAGGGGATCTCTTGGGGGTTATGATCACACTGCCCCTCATCCAGAAATGAAACCCAGCCTTAGGTAACAAGCAACAAAGCTGAAGACAGTGATTCTTTGGGAAGCAGGTCATTACAGGCCCTGAAGCCTGTCTGGGCACGGAGCATCCATGTTGTGTTTGACTGTGTGGGGAGCACTTGCAGCTCAGCAGGGTGACAGGCAGGCAGTGCTCAACTGTGTCCCTCACGTGGCATTAGAAACACAAGCAGAGTTACCCTGAGCACCTGCTTCAATTTAAAATGGAATGTGACCTAAGTCACCTGGGAGTGTTGGAAAATGTCAATCAAGCCCCCCAGCAGTGTCAGGGAAACATTCCTGATAAATACCTGGTGGAGCTGCAGAGTTTCTGGTGTTGGGCACCCTGGGGGCTGTGCTGGCTCATCACTGGCTGGGTCTGCCCCTCTGTGCCTCAAATCTCCCCTTTTTGCTTGCCTTCTGTCTTTTCCTCTCCCACTGTGCTTTTTGCATCCCCACAAGGTGTTCATCCCTGTCCTCTGTAGTTCCTCAATGCAAGCAGTTGCAGCTGCTGCAGCACCTCAGTGTCATCCCTGGGCTGCCTTTAGAACAGACCTGCTCCAGCCTAGATTGGGAAGGGCTGGATCAAACCATTTCTCAGTTCAATGCACCAGCACCCACACAGGGGCTGCATCATGACCAGGAGCTGCTGGTGCAGGTCTCCCTCCCTCCCTCCCTCCCTCTGCAGGTCCCTGTTCATAGTTATCTTATTTTCCAGATATGAGCTTCGCTCACCTAAATTCAAACCCCACCCACCAAAGGAGAAGAGAACCTGTTTGGATTCCTCGGCATCTCAAAGGAGACGTTTCAAGATTAGAACCGTGGAGGAGCCAGTCACAGCCCTGGAAGAATTGTGGGATATTGCCCAATCTTTAGGAGCACAGGTAGATTTTCTTGTACACCTAGCGCTTGTGCTGCCTCCCCAGCCTGCCACCAGCTTGTGCTGCTGACCTCTCTTTTTGTTGCCCTGTTGTCCTGTACCCTGAGAGTTGGCTGGGCAGCGGGGCCAGTGGCTGGAGATGGGGTGAGTGGGAGGGAGAAATAGGAGAGTTTTCCTTGGAGAAGGCCACTCAGATCCTTCAGGCCTGTGTTGAGTGTGGGATTTTTTTGCCTTGTTTTCTTCACAATGTAAGATGAGGCTTTTATCTGCAGCATGATGGTAAGACCTCCAGTTTCCTTCCCAAAGCAAGCTCTGATGAATCCTGATCTCCATGTACCCTCTTCCCAACCCAGACAGACTACCCGTTTCCAGGTCTCTGCTTTCACCCGAGAGCTGGTATTGCAGAGGTGGCCCTGAAGCTGTCTTATAAACTCATGACTTTGCAAAGTGGCTGTCTCTTCCTCCTAGCATAGAAAATGGCTTGTTTTTCAGGTGCCACCAGAAGCTCATGAAGAGTATTACATCCCACAAGGGTTGGAAGGATTCGGGTGTTCTCCGAGTGTACCGCACACTTCTCTCAAAGCGGAGGTTCCAGGTCTCTGCTTTCACCCGAGAGCTGGTATTGCAGAGGTGGCCCTGAAGCTGTCTTATAAACTCATGACTTTGCAAAGTGGCTGTCTCTTCCTCCTAGCATAGAAAATGGCTTGTTTTTCAGGTGCCACCAGAAGCTCGTAGAGGGTATTACATCCCACTAGGGTTGGCAGGATTCAGGTGTTCTGTGGATGTACCGCACACTCCTCTCAAAGCAGAGAAGGTAAGAGGGAATGTGTTTCACTTGCCCACTGTCAGTGTGGCAAGCAGGGCTGTAGCTCCCAGTCCCACTGGTGGCCCTCAGCATTGGCCACACAGGGGCCTCACGTCCCTCTAGGCCCAACACAAAGTGCTGCTCAAACAGCTGGTTGTTGGAGAGGCCGTGCAGGACACATTGTAGGGCTGCCCAAGGATGCTGTGCAGCACCTATGGAGGGCATTGCTCCCCCTGGACCTCACCTCATAGGAAATTTTTGCAGGAGCTTTTGCTGAGGCACCTTGAGAAAGCAGCATATATATCAGAGAGAGAGGGGAAAAGCCTCAGGAGTCAGATGAACTGGGCTGGAGTCCTTCCCTGAGCTCCAAGAGCTCTCACTCTGTCTCTCCTCCTTTTCTAAAAGCAGTAAGAAATGCTTTTTAAAGGCAAGTTGTGCCTTTAGAGAATTTCTACTGCCAGGAGACATCCCAGTTCACTTTCATGTAATGCACTAATTAATGCATTGACCCGTGAGTATGGGAGAAGATTTTCCCCATGGTCCCTGCACTGGTCAGTGGCATGGATACAGGGTGAGATCAGGGTGATTCTGGCTGTGTTTGGGGAATAGGCCCCTCCAGGTACAGCTGCACTTTGCTCCAAGATGCTCTTCTGCATCCATTTCCATGTTCCACACCTTAATCTCTCCTGTCCTCCATCCAGGCTTTCAGTATCCTGCCGCTGTCAGGTGTGCTGCAGCCAGGAGAGAGCCAGGAGGTCTCCTTCACCTTCTCTGGCCCCTTCTACACCATCGCCCATGTCAAAGCGCTGTGCCACGTGGAGGGAGGCCCCACCTACGAGGTGGTGCTGACCGGGCAGGCCTCACACATGAGCTACTCCCTGAGCCTCCGGGAGATCAAATGTGGCTTTCAGGTACCACACGTGTTCCCTGGCGATGCAGCCCACTGGAGCCCAGGCTAGCTCTTGAAACTCTGGTGCTTCGCCAGAAGTGGAGAACTGCCTTGGTGTGGGCATTTACCAGAGGCAGAAGCTTTAGAGCAACTTGCTCTACAGTGCCAGACAGAAGCCACAACAGGGACCAGGCAAAGGAGAAAGGAGGAGGCTCTCTGTCTTGAGGCTCCACACAGAGGGTTTTATTACAAGCACAAGCAGCAAGCCAAAGAGCCCTGGAACACCTGGTGCACGGGTTTTTATGCTGTTACAACTCAGGGGGCGGTTACAAGGAGTTGTCCAGTGGGGAGTCTTCATGGGAGGGGTAAAGGGAACACATCATTTGTTTGGGACTGGACAAGGGGGAGGAAAGGGAAAGTCACATGGGCCAATGAGACATGAAGTTTAGGGGAATTCCAGAGGGGTGTTGCAGTCAGGGATTGGCCCAGGGTAAGAGTGGCAGAGAAGGTTTGGGAGTAAGGGGCTGGATTACATTGACAGGCAGGGAAAGAGCTGGAACAACAGGTGTGGAATGGCGCCTCCCCCTTTGTTGGCTCTGGGGCTTGGAAGTGCAACCTTTGAGGGACACATCTGGCATCCAAGCTGGCTTAAAATGGCCATCTCCAACCCTCTCCAAAATGCTGGGAATGCCTCTTTTTCAGGGTACCTAAGACTGCTTCCTGAGGAAGGCAGGGTCCCAGTGGGGATGCTCTGAGGGGCATGTCCCTGAGACATCCCTCTGCTGATCCACGTCTAAAGCCTGACCTCCAAAGAGATGCTCTTGTCTAAAGCTCTTGCTTAATCCACACAACAATCAAGGGAAGAGTCACTATATTTGGAGAGACTGTCCCAGAATAATCGCCACTTCACTCTTTTTCAGTTGAAAGCCCACAGATATTTCCAGCTACTGGCCCTGTCTGTGTTACCCTGTGTGACTCCCTTGTTGCATCTGTGTTGCTTGCCAATACTTGCAGCAGGTGCCTTTTCTTCTGGAATGCCTCAGTGCTGTCTCTGTTTTTCCTGGCTGTTGGTGACCCCTCAGAGTGCAGGGGGCCTGTGTCCCCTGGTTCATTTATTACTGGCCCTCACATGGTTGTTTTCACCCCTCTGTGTGCTGCAAAAGCTCCCTGGTGCTGTGCAGCTGCCCTGTGCCTGGGTGTTCCCCAGGTTCCCAAGGGCCCCTATCTCCTCCTTGGTCCCTGCTCCCAGGATGTGTCTGCTTTCAATCCCAGAAGAGAGGAAGGAGATTCCCAGCAGCAGGCCTGGGTGTGTAACTTCCCTCTCCTGTGTCTTCTCTCCAGATGTTTAATGAAATTCATCACAGCAATGTCACCCTGGAGAACAGTGGCAAGATTGAATTCAGCTGGGTGCTAAACCCTAGCCCTGCAGACCAGCATCGGCCTGGTGTGTTTTTGGTCAACCCCACCACTGTAAGTAGCACAAGTGATTGACCCCAGCCCTGTGCCAGGTGGCCCAGGAGAGTTTTAAAGGGGGAAAAAAAGCCGGGGGGGAGGGGAAAGGGGGAAAAAAGTCAGAGGGAAAAACCCCAAACCCAGCCATGAGAGAGACAGAGCTGTAAGCCTTTTCTGCTGGGGGCAGAGAAGGTCAAACAAGTGCTCTCCTGATAGACTCCCCCACGGTTTTGGCTGGTGGGTGGCTCTGCTGTCACAGGGCAGACACGGCGGGAGGCACAAGTGTGTTGGTCGCTGTCTGTCCCACTGTAAGGGGAGTAGAGGAGAATTCTTTTTGATAGATTTCTCAGATGAAAATAAGGCACAAACGCAGCGTTATATCTGAAAACTGTTTATTGATAAAGAAAGGGTATGGTCCCGACCAGAAGGGGATAGAAAAAAGAGCAGAGAGAGAAAATGAGAAACAGAGAGAGTAACCCGGGACAGGGACAGAGCGTTAGCGCTGGAGCCCTGGGGCGCTGTGTCGGGTCCTGCTCGGCAGATGGAGCAGCTGTGCTGCCAACCGCACCGAGCGTGTGTGCCCGCCGCGGCGGGCCGGGCTCGATCCGCCGGCAGCAGGGCCGGGCTCGATCCGCCGGCAGCAGGGCCGGGCTCGATCCGCCGGCAGCAGGGCCGGGCTCGATCCGCCGGCAGCAGGGCCGGGCTCGATCCGCCGGCAGCAGGGCCGGGCTCGATCCGCCGGCAGCAGGGCCGGGCTCGATCCTGGGATGTCTTTGAGCCGAAGCAGCACTCCTGCCTGTGTTCCTCCTTGCAGTGGGAACAGGAAGCGATTGGTTTCCCCATTTCTTCATGCCTCTCTCCTACAAGGGCTGAGAGGAGCTGGTGGCCCTGCTCAGTGTGGGGACTTCCCTTCCACAGCAGCAGCAGAAGAGCCTTTTCGTGTTGAGGTGGGCTCTTGCTGGCTGAGGGCAAACCCCATCAGCAGCAGAGCTGGTGCTCACTTCGGGCTGTGCTGGGGCTGCAGCCTTATGAGCCCTGGGGAAGACACACGCCACCCTGGGGTCAGAGGCTCGACCTTTTAGGCACAAGGAAGGTAGAAGGTATGAAAAACGAAGGCCACTCCTCAGTTAAAATTTAAATAAAATTTAATAGGAGACAACAGGGGACAAAGTCAACAAAGCAGAAGTAACAGCGCTGGGTGCTTGGCTTGGGTGCTTAGCCAGAGGCACACACCAGTCAACACAGCAACACCCCTTATATACCCTGGGTATTGCATCAGCCTAATCCATATCTACAAATGCTTATGCATATTGAAATATTTTTACATAGTTCCTCCTCTGTCCCACCTTTTTGGAACATGTGCAGTTGTCCTAGTCCTGGTCATTTGTTACTTTTTGACACATTCAACAGGTTTCCATTCCTTCATTGGTTAAATGTTAATAATACAACAACTCTTCAACATTGGTATCACAACACGACATTCACATTAAAAGAACTCTAAACTTTAGCAAAACTTCTTTTACAAAAGTCAACATTATAAAACACATAGTATTTACTGTAACAGTTGTGAAAGCCAACACTGTAACATGTTTATCATTAAGGTGATGTGGTCTGATGGTTTCTTCTAGATGAGAACCTCTCTCCTCAGCCTGTGTGTCCCCTGAGCCATCCCCATCAAACACTCTGATGCATTCCCTCCCTCTTCTCCCGTCCCTGCAGGGCTCCATTCCACCTGGCGAGAAGCAAGTGCTGGAATTCTCTTACATGCCAGGATTACCAGGAGCCTTCAGCAGGACTTACCAGCTTACAGTGGGTGACCTGGACCCGGAAAATATCTGCCTGAAAGGAGAAGCGTTCTGTCCCATGATCAGTGTGAACCTGCCCTGGAACATCAAAGGTGGGCACTGCCTGTCTGCCCCCAGGAAGGGCCCCTTTGGTTTTGTTCCCTACCATATGCCCATAGGGCAGCTCATGCCCACCTTCACCAAGGCTGGAGGGTTGCAGGACTCCCAGACCAAGTCAAGCCCTCTTCGTGAGTCTTGAGCAGAGGATCCCATGTGGGCTTTGCAGTCACTCCGGGGACTCCGACGGCTGAGATCTCAGGTTGTGCAGGCACTGGAGTGTTTCTGAGGCTGTTACCCAGGCTGTGTGATCACATATCCCTTACACAGGCCTGCTGCTCCCTGCCTCCTCCAGCTTCGTTGCTGTGCAGCGGCTTTGTGGGGCAGTGAGTGGGACAGGGAACAGCGGGGCTGGATGAGCAGGGAGAAAAATTAGCAGCATCCCACCACTGTCCAAGCTTCTCAGTCCTGCGTGGGATGTCTTTGAGCCGAAGCAGCACTCCTGCCTTTGTGCCCTGCCTTGGGCACAAGGAAGGTAGAAGGTGACACAGTGCTGGTCTCAACCCTGCTAGCTCCACAGAACCAGGCCAAGGAGTGTGCTGAATGTGAAAAACAGGGCCAGGAGACCAGCCCGTTTAAAGAGGCCTTTATTAAGAACAGTTGTTGGGTGGGGAACCCGAGGGGTCGCGCACACCGCCACTGCTCCCACAGGACGACGCTGAGGAGGAGGAGTGCAGCTTTGTCTCTCGGCAGAGCTGGGGCTTCCGTCCTCACAAGAGTCCTCAGGCGGGCAATGTTGGCCCATAGTCTAGGGGTGTCATCCAGACTGAGTACTCCTCAAGCCATGGTGACAGGACAGAATCCGGCTCTGTAAATGGTGGGTGATTCCCAGTGGCGCAGCCAGTTTAAAACCATTGTTTATGTGCTGGTTTGTTGTTTTTGAGAGAGTCCACACCATACCAACAGCTCCTCATTAAATTCGGTCAGGGTGCAAGTCCCTCTGGGAGCAGAAGTGGTTCCCAACAGAAAGGGATACAAACACAGGGTAAGACAGTAACACTTAACAATGGCAAACAAAGGCAAACCTCAGAACTCCAACATTCTACATTCAACAACAGACTAACACTTCCAATTAAGATCCTATTAACTTCATCAACATTAACTAGCAATTGCCACTCTGAAAAAGAGCTCAGTGTTTCATTTCTCACACTGAATCCCAGTGTTCCATTTCTCACACTGAATCCTAAAAGTTTAATATCCAGGGTTCAGTTTAGCTGGGAGAGAAGCCTTTACAGCGCTGGTGTGTAATCCAGCACAGGGGGAGGATGCAAGAATGAGGGAGAAACATCCTGTATGAGTTCTACACAGCCTTATTCTCTATTTCTGGCTGTGCAGGAATTTATATATGGGGTAGGTTCAATGGGAAGTACAAACCTTCGACCACTTGGGGCAGAACTGGGGAGGAATCCAAGATGGGGTTGCCAACCTTCTAACCAATATGGAGAACCAGCGGGAACCAACAAGCCAATGGGGCTTTGAAGGATATAAAGATGACAGGGTAGTCTCTGGAAAAGGGGATAGGTATGAGGCGTGATTGACAGCTGTGGGGAGGAGGAACATCAAGCATTCTGGGCAAAGAGGCTGGTTCAGGATAAGATGAACAGTGAAGGTGGGAGGACACAAGGATAAACCAACTGTATAGGGGGGAAACAGAACAAACCATTTGGAATAATAATATATAATAAAACACACTGTAACAAGAAGGTGTGAGAAACCAGGAATAAATCAGGTGTTCTCAAGAAGACTCAGAACCCGAAAACTGAGACCTTGACATCTCAGACGCTGCTGACTCAGACCCCAAAAACTCAGACTCCAAAGAGTCCAATTCTGAAGACTCGGAACCCGAAGCCCCCTGTGCCTGACTCTGGCATTGCAGTAAGAACAGCTGCAGCCCTGTTTGGCAGATGCCACCCTCTCCATGTCACCTGAGCTCCTTGCAGCCCATAGTAGCTCCCCAGTGCCCTGATAGCACCTGGGACCTCCCTGCCCACTTAGAACCATGTGTCACCTCAGCATTGCTCCTAGGGCTGCCACACTGGTCATGGTCTCTTCTGGGGCTGCACCAGCTTCCTGGCTACCCCAGGGAGAGATCCTGAAGGCCGTGCTCCAGGGATGGAGTTGATGGCACTTTGAAGGAGATGCAGGTCATTGCTGGGGAGTTTGTTGGTCCCAAGCCAAGCCCTGCCAGATTTACAGACCTGAACAGCAAACAGCAGCTGCCTGATTGTGCCCTGGGGCTGTGCTGGTAGTACTCATCTCCAAGAGGCACCAACTTGGTCCCAGTTCCCTTTCAAGACAGTTTTTGTCCAAGCTGCCTTGGTACTGGCTGGGGGCAGGCAAGAGCTGGAGCTCTGGAAGGTTCCTGGCTTGTCTGTCTGCCTGGCCAGAGCAGCTTTGCTAACAGTGTCTGGGCAGGCAAAGATGCTGGAGTTACTTCCCTGGTGGAGATGAGGTGCTGGCTAAGAGAGCAGGAGGTGTCACAGACACTGAGCAGCCAGACAGGAGGACCCCACATGCCCTCTCAACAAGAGCAGGGGGGATCCTTTCTCAGGTGTAATGCTTGGGAAAGACCTTTGCTAACCGGCCACTGTCTTCCCTTTCCTCAGTGGGAGACTTGCATGCAGAGGAAGAAGAGGAGAAGCTGATAAAAGATCATGTTCTGGAGCTGGAGACAGCTGGTCACCTCCCATGCCCTGGAGGACAGGGTCTTTAATCAGGACTGTTACAAATGGATAATGCAATAGTTGCCTCCCACAGCTAAGCAATTAATATTATGTGTTGTAGTGTGTTTCATATGCTTCTATAATGTTGTAAATTGGTTTGTTCCATGTACCCCCTTATCTGTAATGGTTCTGCCCTGGGCTTTTACTGTAACTTTGAGGCTGAGCAAAATAACTATTGTTTCTTTTTCATGAAGAGCAATGCAGGAGAGGTGACAAAATGTGCCTGAGGAATAAGATGGTTACAAGATCCTATCTGTGAGGAAAGCAACAGGAATCAAGGTAGGATGTTCCCCAGGGGCCAATCAGTGCAGCTCTGCAGAGCCAGTTCAGGAAGCCTGATGATCTGGCCCTGCTTACTGAAATATCTTCTCAAAACAATGATCCTTATTTCCCATTTTTCATGAGAGAGACATCTACCAGCATGCTCCCAATAACCCCCACGAATAACCAAGCAACAATCTCCAAGAAATACCCTTTATATAGATTGTAATATGGTGATGCCAACAGACCTGCTCTAACTAAACACTCCAATAAGGGAGGCATTGCCAGAAAAGTCAACTTTTGCATGCTTCCCGTGCAAGCCAGCTCCCTAAATGCTGGGCCTTAGGTGAAATATTCCCTGAACAAGCTATTCCCAGTTATCCACTGCAAGGTTTCTGAAGGGGAAATGGCCTGCTGGGCCATGGGGAGGGTTTGTGCCATGGTCACATTGTACTTCCCTATGTTGCAGCATCATGAAAGGAACCAGAACCTACCAGAGCCAGGATCTGCAAATGTCACTGAGCAGCTGCTCTCTTTGCTCTTCCCTGAAGCACCTGGCAATACCCCTGCGATGTTGTCTGGGTGTAACCATGCAGACAGAATATAACAGCTGCTAATACCCTCATTCTGTTTCCTTTGATCTTCTCACAAAGTACAGCTTGTTCAAAACAACTGGAGGAAGCAGAAGCCATCAGTTCTCTTGGAATTAATTTTTGGGAAAATCAATACATTGGCTTTGGAGGTTGCTTGTGGAAATAAACCCAGCTTTGCTTTAAAATTTGATACACCTCAAGAATTGTTTTGAAAGTTGATTCATTTCTAATTAAAGTGAAATCTGAAGCCATGTGAGGGTTTTGATAAGTTCAGCTTTTGTTGCAAAGAGCAGTTCTACCCAAGTTCTTTTCTCTTAGGAGCTGGCTGCTATTGTACCATTTTACATTGTAGTTTCTGAATTCACCCCACACACTCTCATTGACTTCAGTGGGAATTTTCCAAGAACAAGGAATTAAATAGTCTTCAAAATAAGTTCCCCCATGAATTCAGAATATTAGATATCTGCTCAAGTTATGTTACATGCTGTCAATTTTTCACCTGTTAAAATTCTTGGAGCAGATGCAATGAAACTTCTCCAGGCTTGATAAGAAAAGTTGCAGATACTTTCAATTCTCTGCAGAAGTCTGGGAGTTTGGGAAAGCTGCTCTGAGGTTCTCTTTCAGAAAGGAATTTTCTGTGCGAAGCCCCATATTTCACTGCTGTCAATTATGCATGACTTTGGTATTCTGCATTTAAATAAAGAGAAATAACACATTTTGGTGATAAATTATGGGTAAATAATAAAGGCCAGAGAAAACAACAACAATGAAAGAAAGAAGACCCACAATAATTTACTATGTTTGGTTTTATGTATTTGTGGTGAAAGAGAAAATATAAGGAATATATAGGAAATTGAGGATGGGATTGGCATTAGTTGTCCCAAATTGCAGGAATACATCTGATAATAACCACATTCCTTCATATGGATGCAAACTTTAGGCTACTTTTAGTCTGTCTTGGCTTTTCTAGGTGTATTCATCCGTCACTGCAAGTGAAATCGTAAAGCCAGCAGGGAGACATCATAACAGACTTCACATGTGCCTCGTGGAACTTTTTCTTTCATTTTTCTAACTTGCAGCTAAACTGATTGATTGGAAATGATTGCCATTTGCCTTCATCCTGCCTGTAAAGGCTGCTTCCAAGTATTTCCTTTTCCAGGTTTTTTAATCCTATGATTTTTTTGAAAAGGCACCTTCTCTCTAATCAAGTCCTTTTGACAAGCTATGAATGATTTTGATATTAATTCACAGTTTTTATAAGCCTGTTCCAAAGGTAAAGCACAGGCCACGTTGAACATGTAACTTCTGGGCTGGGTTTTCTTTATGACTCTTGCCCTTTCTGCTCCTGTGGCTGCCTGAGCACTTGGGTCTACAGTGTGTTTGAGGAAGCTTCTGAGAGTCTAGATCAAGGCTGGTTTGCCTGGACCTGCTCCATTAGCTGATGCTTTGCTTTTCTGCCATCTTCACCCATTCCTCCTCCTCTGAGGACAATAGTTCCCTATCTGCCTGCCCTGTCCACAGGTTTTCCCTCCAGCTCTACGCTATGGGGGCCACGCTTGGTTTGGCTGTG